TGGCCATAAAGTTAGGCATATGGTCAGGAAAATGGGTATTATTCCTTTATTTAACAGCTTGACAGAGCAGATTATGTTAGTTTTAAGGATAGCCGTACATGCAATGTATTCCTAAGATTGTACAATATATATAGAGAGAATTGGTGGATAAGGGTGAGGAGATGCAATCAGAGGAATGTTTAATTTTAAAAGGACAATTACAATTCCAATTTCATGCAATATCAACACAAAATTGGGGGTTAAATGCGACTAATATTATAATGACTCATAAGTTTAACAAGCTAAAATCTGGGCAGTTATAATTCAATAATAGAATAAGCAACTACTTTAACAAACAATAAATGCAGATAATTTCTTTAATTCAGCCATGCATTCATGTAAAGGTGACGTCAAATACAAAAGGAAGAGGACATTGATGACTAATTCCTCTGAAACTGAAACCAACTGGTCATATACACGACCATATTATCAATCAACAATATTGTGTTACTATTTGTAATGTACTAAATATATGAAATTTTTGCTTTTTAGGGATTAAGTAACAAATTTATATGTAATTTCCTAGTTTATCAGAAGCATGATTTGTGCGATTGCATTCATCAGTGTTTTAAATTACGTTTCTTGTCAATATGAAAAACACTTCTCTGGTCAGAACCATTTATATACTACCAATGGCAAGATGCTACTAGGTTGCAGACAGCAATTATGAGCACAATGATATCACAAAAACAAAAGTCACAAACCACCTTCAAGCGAGGCTTAACAACTGTTTGTCCTCCAGTCGGCCCAAATCTACCAGCCCACCGCTAGGTGACAACACTAATACCTTCCCATTTTTCCTAACCTAAAATCTTGTCACATTCTTCCTGGCAAAAGCTAGAGAAGCTGCACACAGGAATAATGAAAGATAATGGTGGAACGAAGCAACCGAATGGCTATACATGGAACAGTATTTTTCATATTGACTTTTATTTTACGCTTTTGTTTCCAACCTATCACAACATTCAGTTGCTCTAAGTCTGTGATAAAAGATGTATGAAAAGCAGCCAAAATTTAAAAAGGAGGAAGGCCTTTGTCTATGATACAGAATGGTGATGAAGGCCACAGGGTAAAGAATGGTCACAAGACAGCAGAGACCAGAGAACAAAAGCACCAGCCCCGCTATTGTCCAAGGAGTAGGTTGTTGAGTAACAATAATATTAGATTTATGCAAGGGCACATACATATGATACATGAACAGTGGAGGATTCATATGTAAGACAAATGTAATGTATAAAACCACCTAATATCACAAAGATAACCAAAAGTTCTCATCCTACGGTAAAGGAAGGGAATCTTGCAAAAATACTTTTCAGAAAACACACTTTTGGAGAGACAAACTCTTCCCCCCCCCCCCACCATCCTGCTCAGTGATCCTAGCAAGATATTGCCTCTTACTGGTGAATTTCTGTTTATCCTGAGCTAAGGATTAAGCTTGAGTTGATGCAGATTCACCCCCAAAGAATAATTTGAAAAATCAAAATTTGGCACAAGAAACAAGGGTGTGAGGATAAAAATTGAAGGCAGCTGAATAACAGCAGGACTGGGAGGAGCATCTCAATCCGGGATTTAAAATCTCCCACTGACTTATCAAGTTACAAAATGTCCTCCACAAATATATCACAATAGATGAAATCTAGCCACATGGACAAACAGCTTTTGGTTCCATAGACATGAAGAGGTCTGCTTGGGGAAATGTTGAATGTGTCACATATTCACCAAAATTAGCATTGTTCATATTATATTCCATCCAGATGGCACCAACATGGAAAAATACCATCTGCCATGTTGGTCAGCCTGCATGTGTGAACTGCTGAGGAGAAAGCCAAAGAAATCCAATGAATGATTATGGTTAGAAACCACCACCAAATTGGGAGGGAGCAAGCCAAGCCTCCCCGGTTAATACATTAAAACACTAACATGTTGTCGGAATAAAGTTAAATCCTAGGAAACAGCAGGCCCATAGCTGGAGAATGGGCAGGCCCCTAAGATAATCACCCACTTACTTGGGAGGAAAGAACACATTCTCCAACCAGGAGAAGGGAGTAACCAAAGACCCCAAATGCAAATGCAGGACAGATTCCTGCATGCCCACAAAGATAAAAGGAGGTACTGTATGCCCCCCCCCCCTATTCTACATTCCTGACCTAGCTGATGTCTGTGTGATAGTGGACCGTGGCTGCTCAGAATCTGTAGCCATGAGGGGGAATATGATAATCCAGGTACTTGACTAATGAACTCTGTGCCGAGGCACCTGAAGACAATACCCAAGCAGTGTACTTCCTATCTGTAGCCCCCAGCAGACAGGTCAAAGAGACAAGAGCAGACATATTTTCCTCAGTATGAAGGATTAACTTATGTTATTAATTTCAAGAGATGTTCTACTCTCACAGCTTAGATTGGTGCTAATCTATTAGGGTTATTTGTACTATACATACTCAGAATAACATAGCCATTATAACTTATTTGCTTCTGTAACTCCTGCAGAAGCTGGTGAAGTTCCCTCGTAAATACTTCAATCTTTGTTCCAGCCATATTTCTGGTGCATATTTTCTTATATGCTATTGAAAAATGAAGCCCCTCTTGGCCAGGCTAATAAATGAGCAGTTATGAAGCCTTACTTGGTCATGCTGGTGAATGGCCAGTAATGAAGCCTCGCTTGGCTTTCATTTGCAATACCAAGTGTGGATTTGGCAGGGAACATGTTTTTATGTATGTGACTAACAGGCATCCTGGGATGGATTGAACTCATGCAGTGCCTCCCTATTGTGTCATCCTGCAGGAAGTTTAAAACTTTGCTGCGGTGCAGATACCCGAGTGTGCCATTGAAGGACTACTCACGAGTTCTGTGCCACAGTGAATTCTTACCACAGAGACCAACCACATATAGTATCCCCAAAAATATAAATTTCCTCAAGCTGTTAGAATAGTAATACAGACAATGTTTTTAATTACAGGTCTTCACAGGTACAAACAATATGAAACAAAAACTCTAAACCATTACAGCACAGTACTGTGTATTGCTTATGTCCATTCCCAATATTTTCTGAAAATGTTATCTCAGAGATTACTTTACAATAATCACCCTTACGATGCAAAAATCCTCATACTTTATGATTATATTATATGATTATAGCAGGAACAGGAGGCCTGGTAAGAGACTGGGTCACGGGGACCTTGACCCCTGGAATCAACGCAAGAAACCCCTTCACTTTATGGTAAACATACTAGATATTGTGACAATCGCTTGTCTGCTACATATGTCCCTACTAGATGCTGAAGAACCTTGTTAACTGCCATTTTTCCAAACGTTGCAAATAATCCCCATAATTCCAAGACAGTTTCTAATATTGTTAGTCTTGTGGACGTTTTAAATGCCCCAAATAAATAAAGTACAGTACAGTAATTTAACAACATTAACTATAAAAAAGTGCAATTTTAATTAATGTATTGTTATAATTACAACATAAACTACACAAATAACATTACCATCTTCAAACTGCAAAGACAGGAAATGCAGCTACTGTACTTTACCAGCAAGCAAACACGTTGGAAAGGGAGAGAAATCGAAGGCGTCTAAACAATATATCGAGCATAACAAACTATGGGAATACAAATGAGAGAATGGTCTTTGTACACAAGGAAGAGGGAAATGGGTGTAGCAATTACAGAAATAGTATGATAAGGAGCAGGAACAGGAGCAAGACAAGGAGCAGGAAGTGACAGGTGCAACATGAAGGTGCAGGAAGTGACAGATGCATAATAAGGAGCAGGAAGTGACAGATGCATAATAAGGAGCAGGAAATGACAGGTGCATAATAAGGAGCAGGAAATGACAGGTGCATAATAAGGAGCAGGAAGTGACAAATGCACAAGAAGGAACAAAGTGGCAGATGCACAAGAAGGAACAGAAAGTGGCAGATGCACAAGAAGGAACAGAAAGTGGCAGATGCACAAGAAGGAACAAAAAGTGGCAGATGCACAAGAAGGAACAAAAAGTGGCAGATGCACAAGAAGGAACAGAAAGTGGCAGATGCATAAGAAGGAACAAAAAGTGGCAGATGCACAAGAAGGAACAGAAAGTGGCAGATGCACAAGAAGGAACAGAAAGTGGCAGATGCACAAGAAGGAACAGAAAGTGGCAGATGCACAAGAAGGCACAGAAAGTGGCAGATGCACAAGAAGGAACAGAAAGTGGCAGATGCACAAGAAGGAACAGAAAGTGGCAGATGCACAAGAAGGAACAGAAAGTGACAGATACACAAGAAGGAACAGAAAGTGGCAGATGCACAAGAAGGAACAAAAAGGGGCAAATGCATAAGAAGGAACAAAGTGGCAGAAGTAGTATAAGAAAGGGACAAGGAAATAATTATGAAAACCTAAGATTCCATGGAGACAGGAAACAATAAAAAAAACAAAAGATGCTATAGGATCATTCAGTAGGAATCCCATAAAGGGAAAAAAGGATGGGTTGGATCTTGGCAAAATAAATCGGGTCTAACCGATTGGAATCTCCGAGTCAGCAGTGACTCTGGACCAGGATTTATCGGTAGGCATTTACGCAGTCATTTACGAAACCTGAAAATCTTTTCACAATCATGCTGGCTTTGTTTACATTCAGTAAACAGTTTAGAGCTCTGAAGCACTATAAGGTTGTTTAGAACCAAAATAACCTTGGGTTGTGAAGTATCGAAGCTCAGTTTAACAAATGTAAACAAAGTTGCCATGGTTGAGAAAACATGTACAGGTTTTGTAAATAGCTGCATAAATGCTTGGGGCATTCTGACCCTTCTGACCCAGGAAAGCCTCTAAGAAGAGACAAGGGAGCAGAGCAGGGAAGAACATTTCTAGAGTTAAAAACAAAAAATGGGGGTCTAGAAAAATAAACGGGTGGGTGATGAGTAACGGTGAATGAATAAAGAGGGCAACAACATTGACCCGTTACCATCCCTAAGACTCACCTGTAGTACTTCGGGAATATCCTGGAACCAGTAACAAAGCAAAATACCAGATGAGATAATGGGAAAATATTTTAGTCAAAGAGTAACTTAGATACTGGAAGAGGTATAGAGCATAGATGGCAAACTGTATAAAGATTTTGCTAGGAAATGAAGAGTTACGTTTAGAGATACAGTACAGACTAAATTTAAATAAATGTAAATAAAGTAAATATAACATAAAAGAGCAGATAAGAGAGAAGAATTATGGCAAATACACATAGCCCTTAAAACAGTATTATACTGCTTGAAAATAATTTAAAAAATAACAAAATAAGAAAAATCTCTTTTCTTCAAATTATATAATAAATATTTTAACAGCTATGTCATGTACCAGTATACATGTCCCAGAATACCTAAACTATATACATTACAACCATACATGTCCCAAAATATCTGAACTATGTACAGTACAAACATACATGACCCTGAATACCTAAACTATATACATTACAAGCATACATGTCCCTGAATACCTAAACTATATATACACATACATTACAAGCATACATGACCCTGAACACCTTAACTATGTACAGTACACGTACAAGCATAGTTGTCCCTCAACAGCTAAAATATACGATACAAATATACACGTCTCCGAGAAGATAAACTATGTACAGGTATATACAGTACAAGATATTTAACCCTGAAGAGTTAACTATATACATTTCAATCATACACCTCTCTGAATAGCTAAATTATTATGTACAGTACAAGTATACCCTCCCTGCATCCACATACACATGCCCCTGAATAAAAACATTAACACCACTATCAATTTTGTAAACATATCCAAAGCTACAGTGTATCACTGTGCTTTACAACCTCTTGAATACAGTTACACATGTCGCTTTGATTGACATGTCCCAAAACTACCTATGCCTTCACTATTCTCCTTCATTCTCATCTTGCCGGGTAACTCGTATACTGTAAACATATTTTGTAATATTAAAGTACAGTACTCTATTTTACTGCTGTACTATCTAAAAGAACTCTAAAGTATTCGCTATTTTCAGTGAATGAAATGAAATACAATCTGGGTAAAAGGGTGAAGCTATAATGAGGCATAGGGAGGGGGTGGAAATTAATGAGGATTGAAAACTGTAAAGCAATAATCACAGCAGTAGAAATTGCACAACAAAACTCACAATAATTAAGTGCATGATTAAAAAAAAAGCTAAGTATCCACTATATTTTCATGTCATTACACAATATTCCAATCAGCAGGAAAATTATCAAACAATATTAAGGAGATCGGGTGGGGGAGGGAGGAGGCAAAATTCCTTTCCAAGGGATACGTTTCAGCACTGGAGGAGCATCTATAACTACGGTAAGCAGTTTTATCAGACTAAGGGTGGAGGGAATGTGAGCCTTGGCATACAGTGTAGGTACAAAATAGGATTACTTAATCTTTTTCCACCTATCAGTCTCTCATCTCAATTCACAAGTACAGTATATTTTTTAAAGAAACTTGTTAAATTTAAGTTTCTCTCTTATAAAAATAAAACCTTGTTTTGCCCATTAAAATGATTTTTGATTAAGAAAAAGTAAATAAGAAAAATATAACTTTTGATAAATGTACAGTCCTACACACAGGAATTTCTAATTATACATTGATGTACAATGAACACTCCAATTATCAACATAATAAATTATTTGTATAAACAATTTAGCTGCATATGGGTGCGAGTGAAACTGCTTTTTTTCTAAGGAAAACCTATACATTAAACAATTTACATACTGCCGAAACATAAAGACTATCCGAGGTGGTGGTAAAGGGGAAAAGAAAGAATCCAATATTAAAATGGTAAGTTAGCTTTGAAATACCTCAAAAAGTCTTTATATAACAGACTAGACACACCTGTTACCTTAATTAATAAAGGCTTATCTGTGGGAACTGCATAGCAACCAAGTTGAGCTTTTTTGGTTAGCCAGAATGTACATATTCCATTACTCGGAGACGTAAGTTTAATTAGCCACAAGAGTTACTCAAAATTTAGTACTGTACTGTACCGACTAAGCAGTGAAAGAAGTGTTCCAAATAGGTAACCATAAAAGATTTTACCATCAAGTATTCTATAATTTCTTTAATACCTAACGTTGAAAACATTGTAAACCCGGACACTGATATACAGCGCACACACACATACAGTACAGTATGTGTAAAGAAGTACACTCCCTATCTCTTGAAGAAGCCTTTCAAACATTTGGTGATAATGATACTGACATCAGGAACCAAAATTCTTTGACATTTGGAACTCCTCAATATTTGTAACTAATTCAGCAAGAATTTGTGTCCTGATTTTCAATTTTGTATAGTACAGCGCTGTACAAATTGCATCAAAATTTGAATATTTGAAGTTTCAAATATATACATATCAGGTGTTTAAGAAATATTATGAACATCTTAATTTGAAGCACTTTGTATCATACACATAATCATTTTATATTATATAATGCCAATTTTTTGTTCAATTTCATGGTAAATACTTTGCTGCAAAAGGAAAGCATTTACAAATTTGTGAAAGGTTTTTGGCAACAGACGGAAAACAATTCCTGATAAAAAGTCAGAAATATTTATGATTTAAGCAGCAATACAGCTAAGCAGCAGGAGCTGACCTTGGACTTGTCTGGTGTGTCTGCTGTGACTGCTGGCCCTGCTGCTGCTGCTTCCCTTCACGATACTGCAGGAGAGAAGCTTCTCGGAATGCGGCTGCGTCCTGACCCCTAATGTAGAGGATGCTGTAAAATAATAACAGATAAGGTAGGGAACAAACAGGGGAAAAGGAGAGTAAAAATAAATTACAGAAAAATGAAAGTGGGAGGAAGAAGTTTGAAAAAGAATAATGAAAAAGGAAATGTTGGAAAATAGTCAAATTTGGATAAAGTGCCAATTAGTTGAAGGTTGATAAATATAAGCTGTCAGAATGAAAGTTATGATAAAAATGGGCTGAAAAGTAGATAAAATTAAATCTGTAAAAATATATTGAGTTAGTGGTAGGAATAAGTTACTTGGGGAAAAAAAGTAAGGCAAAAGGAATTGAAAACGCAAACCAATGCCAGAGGTCAATTAGTAACCTTAGGGAATATAGGGAATATATTAGTTTAAAAAATAAAGCGTCCCCAAGTACTGTAGTTATTTAATAACAGGAGTCATTTTATCCATGGCATACATAGATGACAAATTTAAAGCAATAATTGGAAACCATTATGAATAAAAAAATTATTGGCTTGTTCTAGCCACAAAATGATTGCAAAAAGATACTCTTCACTAATATACCAAGACGAGCCTAATTATCCTACATGGAAGTAATTATAAAGCAGCAAAAGTAAATACTAGGAAAATGTACACGGACAATCATCTCTTAACATCCTTGGGATCCATCCAACGTTTGGGCATCAAAAATGTCAAATTCACCAAAGACATTAGTACCTTGGTCACAGGCTTCAAAATACTAACTGACTTCAATAGTTAACTTTCATCAGTCGGCACAAATTGTGCCAGAAATATCTCTGCATCCCACACAAAGGGTGTTACACATTTTGGCAACAGCTCTCCGACTTAACTTGTCCGAAGGGAGGAGGTACCCTGGAGATACTCACTTCAAAACCATTACATAATTAGAGCTACTGTATTATCTTCTTATCCATGGTTAGGTTAGGCTAAGGTAAGGGAAGGTTAGGCTAAGGTAAGGTAAGGTAAGGGAAGGTTAGGCTAAGGTAAGGGAAGGTTAGGCTAGGCTAAGGTTAGGTTAGGTTCCCTTACATTTGTTTACATCATTACAGTGTATTATTCTCAAACATGTGAAAATTATTTGAGTAGCCCCTAGAATTTCATTTATATAAAAATAAAATACAAATTCAGACTATTTCAAAGAATACAGGTTAAGCATGGACTTTTATATATATATATATATTTTAAACCAATGATTACAATCAAGTTACAACTTGAAAATATTCTCTACTTATAACAAAGGTTTACTGGCCAGAATAAACTAGACTACTAAACACTGTAGAAGTAGACTCTCATTGTCTACAATGATGTAGACTATCATATTGGCCCCATAATATGGCTTTCAACTCAAACCCAAAATCGTCACTGCATGTCACTGCGACATACGCAGTGACAAAATTCTTGGGTTAGGCAAATGACACTTAAGACCTTTGATGAATCTAAGGTATGAAAATGAATATATTTTCGTTTAACTTATTCATTTGCCATATAAAATAAGTAGTAGTAACAAATTATTATTAGTTTAACTTGCCATTTTAAACATATTTCCACGGTAATTCTTCTTGGCCTATGAGAAAAATGATCAGTAACTGATGCTCTATGAACCATACAATAAAGCTGTACATTTAACAAATCTAGACTGTGTACCCGTATACAATACAGTATAAGCATTCCATACATGTCTATCATTTTGCTTTTAAAACGGCAAATGACACTCCCAACAATAAACTGTTTGTGGTGTGCAGAAAAATATCTGTACACTAGAATTTCATCTTTAGAATGTAGGAAGTCAAATAACTCCAGCAATGCACGAGCACACATACACACACACACAGAAACTTGTGTAAGGAATCACTCAGAACTTTGTATACCACATATGTCAGGCCAATCCTGGAGTATGCAGCCCCAGCATGGAGTCCATATCTAGTCAAGGATAAGACTAAACTGGAAAAGGTTCAAAGGTTTGCCACCAGACTAGTACCCGAGCTGAGAGGTATGAGCTACGAGGAGAGACTACGGGAATTAAACCTCACTTCGCTGGAAGACAAAAGAGCTAGGGGGAACATGATCACCACATTCAAGATTCTCAAGGGAATTAATAAGGTAGATAAAGACAGGCTATTTAACACAAGGGGCACACGCACAAGGGGACACAGGTGGAAACTGAGTGCCCAAATGAACCACAGAGATATTAGAAAACTTTTTTAGTGTCAGAGTGGTTGACAAATGGAATGCATTAGGAAGTGATGTGGTGGAGGCTGACTCCATACACAGTTTCAAGTGTAGATATGATCGAGCCCAGTAGGCTCAGGAACCTGTACACCTGTTGATTGACAGTTGAGAGGCGGGACCAAAGAGCCAGAGCTCAACCCCCTCAAGCACAACTAGGTGAGTACACACACACACACACACACACACACACACACACACACACACACACACACACACACACACACACACACACACACACACACACACACACGCGCGCGCGTGCAGCAGCCCTCGCCT